AGTCGCGGCTCCAACAAACGTTTGAACCGCCTAGAGCTGAGTTTAGGGATCGAACCGAACTCTTGAAGCTCAAACAGGGTAAGCGTGATGTGCACGCTTACGCACAACATATACGACATCTCACGAGTTGTATAAGTTCCAATCTGGTGGATGAACACACGTTGGTTTCGGTGTTCATGCAGGGTCTTGCGGATGGTCCCGTCAAGACTCACCTGTTCTGACTTGAACTAGATTCACTAGAACAAGCCATTTCCATTGCGGAGCAGGAAGACTTCAGTCTGAGACAGGCTCGCGCCAGCTCGACATCATATCGTACACCGATACGATATGACAACGGAGGTCCAGAGCCGATGGAACTCTGTTATGTAGAGAGCGAGAAGGCTCGCTCTACAGGCTACAAGAAGTTGCAGAGATGCAACAGATGTCAAAAGACAGGAAACTACGCTTACGAGTGTAGTGCCCCTCGTCCAGTGTCTCGCAACACTGGGCGTAGTGACCGTTTACCCATGAGAAAGGGGCAGGAACGCGGGTCCGCTGTTGGCGCAAAGATGCAACAACGGGATGGACCGTCAAAATACGGACAGGATCAGTAGGTGCGGAGCACCCTACTGGTCCAGCAACGTCAAGAGAATTTGCAGGCCTCTTGATGAAGGTTGCTCCCAACCCACAAACGTTGTGCGTTGCTGCTCTAGGTAATGAGATCTCACTCATTACCTTGAAACTCGAAGTGACGAATAAGTTGTCCCTTCGAGCTCTAGTCGATTGTGGGGCGTCCAACAATTTTGTGCAATGCCAATCGCTAGAAGATGGTAACCTTAAATTCAGTGAATGTGACACACCTCCTACGAGGATGACGGTACGTCTTGCTACAGACGCATCCGTAACCGTCATGAAGCGTATAGTGAAGATCCACTATACGCTAGAAGATACCCAATGTGACGATGACTTTATCGTATTGGATTTGGATGACAAATTTGATGTCATCCTTGGACTACCGTGGCTCAGAAGGTACGAACCACAAGTAAACTGGCAACATCGAACAGTAACGATGCCTGCCGCTTGTTCATCAGATGGCCATCTGATGAACGTTTTGGAGCGTCCACAAGCGTGTAGATGTACTACGAGTGAGTGCGATGGCCTCACTTGTGGTACGGTCGTTAGTACGACTGCACGAAACCTTAGTGTAACAAACGGTTACACTTCGGAGCAAAGTTCCGGCGGCTGTGAGTAAACACAGGCTGCGCCGAAGGTCCACCACTCGAATAAGTCGAGTGGACCGGGACAAAGATGTATCCCTAGCGGGGAACATCTAGAAGAGAAACCATCGATCGCTCAGGTTAAGCGAAACGATAATCCTAGATCGACTGGAGAGTCTTTCGTAGAGGATCTCGCTGTGGTTGCGCAACCCCAGCTAGAGGAAGTAAAGGGAATAAGTCCCGATATTACAAATACGGCGGAAATAAGTTCCCCGAAACCCGCGGGAATAAGTCCCCGGGAAGCCGAAGGAATAATTCCTTCGAAGCCTGAGGGAATAAGTCCCCAGGAAATGAAAGAGACATTAAACGTCCTAGTCAATAACGGATCAAGTGTAGGCGCTTATACACTTGATCTGGTTGCGCCTCCGAAGTTAACTTCGGAGATCACTCAGTTGCCAACGCTCGAACATAAAAGGATCTTGCTTGATCTGCGTAGTGGCAAAGTCAAGCAGATCTGCGTACTCGTCGCTGACGACGAGTGTGTAACCGACATAAGGTCAGCAACAGTTTTTACTGAGAACGAGAGACTTCTCAGTAGTTCATCTATGGACGAGAGTGTTCTAGATGAAAAGACACGAATTGAGCGATATGACTCCCAATCGTGGGAATCGCTCAAGACAAATCCTCTCTATGAAGATTTGGTTGAATTCAAGGATGTATTCCCTGAAACTGTTCCGTGGGAGTTACCGAAGGATAAAGGTATTTGACACGAGGTCGAGCTTAAACCAGGCTCGAAGTACTGTGTCATGAAGCAGTGGCCACTGCCTCGTGAACAAGTACTTGCGATCGACAAGTTCTTTACCGATCGTTTAGCTGCGGGCCATGTGAGGGAATCGACTTCCTCACATAGCTCTCCGACCTTCTGTGTGCGAAAAGCAACAGGAGGGTGGCGGATAGTGCATGCATTTAACAAGTTGAATGCTGCAACGGTACCGGCTCAGACGCCGATACCAAGGAAGGACGTAATCATTGATGGTATGTCAAAAAGTACCATCTTTTCGTCCATGGATTTGATGGATGGCTTCTATCACATCCTTATGCAAGAACGGGATATACCCTATACCGCAGTTAGCACACCTAGCGGCATGCTCTGGGAATGGCTAGTAATGCCACAAGGGCTCAGTAATGCCCCTGCCACGTTCAACAGATGTGTATCACATTTGTTGAGACCAGTACGAGAATTCGCGCCGAGTTATTTCGATGACGTATTCATCCATAGTCGAGCTATGGATGGAAAGTCGGACGTTGAGGTTCACAGGTACCACGTCCGACAGGTTCTTACAATCATGCGAAAGCATCAATTGTATGCAAACCTCAAGAAGTGTATATTTGCCGCAAGCGAAATACCACTTCTTGGGTGCATCGTTGGTAAGAACGGTGTACGTCCTGATCCCGAAAAGATCAAGGCGATCACCGACTGGCCTGTGCCGGTTGATGTCAAAGGTCTTCGAAAATTCCTTGGGCTAGCGGCGTATTTGTATAAGTAGTCACGCAATTACGCCGAGATGACTGTGCACCTCTCTCGTTTGTTGAAAAAGAACGAGAGGTGGTTATGGAACGCTGAATGTCAACGCTCCTTTGAGGGTATCAAGCAGAGCTTGATACAATCCCCAGTCCTAGCAATAGCCGATCAGGACAGGCCATTTCATGTGGTCTGTGATGCCAGCGATTTCGCAATCGGCTGTGCATTAATGCAGTACGATCTTGAAGGCGTTGAACGCGTCGTCTGCTATCAGTCGCGTCAGCTGCAACCAGCTGAGCGGAACTATCCAGTGCATGACAAGGAACTCCTTGCCATGAAGTATGCACTCGCGAAGTTCAGAGTCTATCTATTAGGAGATAGACCCTTCATTGTTTACACTGACCATGCGTCATTACGCACGGCAGTGAACAGCCCGCACCTTTCACAACGAATGGCGCGGTGGTTGTCATTCTTTGCAGAGTGCAACTTTACGGTCGAGTACAAACCAGGACGACTTAATGTCGTCGCTGATGCACTCTCACGTCGTCCCGACTTTGAAACAGTCGCGAAACCCAACAGTGAGACAGTCACTGTTGCGGTTATGACGTACTCAGTCCCATCTACAACGTTGTATGATGATGTGAGGCGGGCATACGCCCAAGATGGTGAGATAGTGAAGTTGTTGACACATCTCTCACAACCATCTCGAGCATCGTTGAAACGATTGTCGTCTGCGTATCGATCTGCATCAGAGAGATACACTACTCGTAACGGTTTACTGTATTATACAGCCGTTTCTGGTGACACACCACGTGTTGTCATTCCAGATGATACTGATCTGCGTTTGCGGATCATGTTCGAGTATCACGATGCTCCTATAGGAGGACATCGTGGCCGAGAGAAAACATATCTCACGGTAAGTCGAGACTTTTACTGGCCCCGCCAGTATCAGTTTGTGCACAAGTACGTTCGCGCATGCGAAGTCTGTCAACGAGTGAAGTCAAGTCCTTCACTGCGTGCACCTTTACAGCCTCTACCGGTTCCGGCTGAGTGCTGGGAATCCATCTCAATGGATTTCGTCTTCGGGTTACTCAAAGACGCACGCGGGAATACGGGTATTCTCGTATTTGTTGACAGATTCAGCAAAATGGTACACCTTGTGGCTGTACCAGAGACAATCACGGCAAGTGGCTGTGCTTGTGTCTTTATTGACACCATCTTCCGACTTCATGGGTTGCCCCGTGAACTCGTATCAGACAGAGATCCACGATTCACTGCTGATTTCTGGCGTTCCGTGTTCAAATCACTCGGAACGCGCTTGAAGATGTCGACTTCTGATCATCCGAGTCAGAAGGTCAGACGGAACGAGACATTCGTGTCCTTGAAGAGATACTTCGAGGATACGTACACTCCTTTAAGAGTTGGAGTGAGTTTTTGCCAATGGTAGAGTTTGCCATCAACAACTCGGTGCATGCGTCCACGACACACACACCGTTTTACGTGAATGGCTTGCGCCATCCGCGTGTACCCACCTTACTAGAGTGTAACTCTGGTTTAAGGGGGGAGAGACTCGCGCGAGCAAAAGAAGATTTGGTTCACGCTCATCACGCTCTGACGAAGAAGTCATTGCGTTTGATGTCGATATCGATAACATCGATATCGAAGAAGATGATGCCAGTGAGAGTGCGGAAGCCCTCACTGAAGAAGATGATCCCAGTGAGAGTGCGGAAGCCCTCACTGAAGAAAAGGTTGATGTTGCTGCAGTGCGCTCACAGCACACTGAAGCTAACGAGTCATCAGATGAGTTCATACTGGCTCGTGAAACGGTAGTCCGTTTTGTGCAAGACTCCATCGCCGAAGCGGTGGATAAGCAAAAGCAAAACGCTGACAAGAATGGAAGGGCAAACACTCTTTTATTTAATAGAGGTGACTTAGTGCTACTGTCTACGGTTAATCTACCAAAGCATGTAGTGACTAACTTGGGTAGCAGTAAACTACTTCCCAAGTACATCGGTCCATTTCGTGTATTGCACCGCCTAGGCAATGCATACACGATCGAGTTACCACGTAAGATGCGAACACATCCCACATTTTACGTTGGTCGGCTTAAGCCGTACCATCGGTACGCTGCTTCTTCCGATGAAGAACGCCCTTGCGCTCAAGCATCTCACAGAGAGCCTTGTGTTCCCGATGGTGGATACCAACAAGGGTCTGAAGAGCAGTTATCTCAGCCCGAGACCGGTCAACATTCCCACGAGCTACCCTTAGCTCGTTACGCAGAGATGTCAAAGCTATCTCGTTCTAAAGCTGAGCAAAAGCATACTCAGCTCGATGCTTCAAGACAGTGTCCGCCATTTGGAGACGCCTATTCCGCTCATGTTCGAGATCGTCGCGTAACCCTTGAGTTACGCGATCAAAGAAGCATTCGGGAACACACCGATCCACATGATCGTGTGGAGAGCGTCTTTCCTCCTCCTCCACCTCCATTAGAGGACTCTCGCGGTGGCCAGCGCTATCTAGTTGAGCAGCTGTTGAACCACCGCGACGTGAACGGACGTCGGACGAGTTACCTCGTCCGGTGGCGCGGCTATCCCCCGTCCTGGGATACTTGGGAGCCCCGCTCCCAACTAATGATCGACGTACAGGGTCTGGTTAAGCAGTACGACGAGGCACATTCTGTGCCGCAGAAGGACCGCCGGAGAAAGTCTTCCCGGCACGGTCATAAAGGGATTTCAGGTTGTCAATCCCTTCGTACATCTCAGTAGAGATACGTACGCGCCACCACGGGCTGGTAAGGAGGTAAGTCTCCTTAGGTGCTCGTGCAGAGTTGTTCACACAACATGGGCACGAGTCTCCCCAGGAAAGACAGGATAACCCACCCTCCTTAGACAGCGATGCAGCTTATAGCGTGCACCTGTCGGGGTTCTTTTCTCAAACTTATCACGAGCTTTGATAAGTTTGTCGTTTCAAACGTCACGACCTACATCCTTTAAGGTTATGGATGTAAGCGTTCCACGCTTAAAGCAGTGAGGGACCATTACGTTTGTGATTCCCACTGTACCATCGATGTCTAAAGAAAGCATCGATGAAGAATTCATTCTCAGCGCGATTGTTTTTCGCACTGGGGTCAAGGTGATGGATCCTTGACGAATCGAACAATCGTGTTCGATAACGATCACTCGTCGTCGCTGACAAGCTATCCATGACGGATTTGGGAGGCATTCATGCCTTCTTCTCGGGAGCGAGACGCAAGACATTGCGATCCCGCTCTTCCTGCGATGTGCCGACAGAAGGACTGGCACCTCGTTGCGAAGTGGTGTCAGTAGGAGAACCGACACCACTGTGAGCGCCCGAGTCTCGCGACCTCGAGCGCCTTCGCTTCGGCGATGGTTCATCTGATTCATCAGATGAACCAAAGATGCTGCGACGCAAAGCATCGTCCATGCCAGGCTTGGCAGGCGGCTTAGATTCAATCGCCGTCGATACGGATCCGTCATCCGTATCAGGAGAGTACGAGACACCGAGCTCATACTCTGTGAAGACGTGAGTGTCCTCATGACGAGCGCTTGCATCACCAAGTGACACAGGCTGGGTCGCATCAGCAACCGATGAGACATCAGTTGCTGTTTTTTCTGCTTCGGCGTCCGCACAGAGACGTGCGGACGCGCTCTCGGCGGCCTTGCTCGCGCATCGCATGGGCTTGTTAACCATGCGATGAGATGTTGGAAAGTGGACGCGGACCAACAAGTGCAAACCCTGTCCCAAATGATTTGGGACGAGTATCCATTTAGTCAATCAGTCACTAAAGGGACTGATGGTTAAGGGGGGGGGTGATGTAACGGGGTGAATCGTTGCATAACAATTTATAAGAAATTGTTAATAGAATATAACTATAAGAGTTATGTTCTTAGAACATTGTCATAAGGACAATATTCTGCAGCACTTACGAGTAGTTCCTAATTGGTTGATATGGGCCATTACATCAACCAACGAAGACGCGCCACGACAGACGCACGCAATGAGTGGTGAGCAGATAGTTGGTATGCACATTTGTATTCAAACATAGTTAGATGAGGATAAACAGTGATTTATTGCAGACATTAACTATTATAAATACAGTTCTACTTTTTACTCTAACCAAGTACTCGCTTCTTCTTACCGTCTTCCTCTGCACGTACGAGTGTACGTGAAGTTACGAGGCACCGCCTTATTCTGTTATCAGAATAAGTAGCTTGTACTGTCACCAGTACAAGCTTCAGGGTGCCCCGTTACACCTGGTAGCACTTCGTAGTCCGTCCAAGGACCACGTTCACATCTAACATGAACATGTTGGATGATGAAGATGACCAAATCTTTCACGCTACGCGTGACGGCTCCTTCCATTTGAGCGATGTCGAATGGGATGCGGTTGAACAGATGGGTTCAACCATGGGCATCCATGCTGCTAGCGTCATGCTAGCGGCTCTCAATAGAGATGCCCAACATGCTACTATCGCCAAGTTCATTCAAAATGAACTTGACGCAGAACGCGAGAAAGTAGCCTTGCTTCACCAACAAGGTTCTCAACACGCAGAGTTGTTGAGAAAACAGGATGCTCAACAGTTTGAACTATTGAGACAGCAGCAGGCTGCTGCTGGTGGGCCGATGCACTCGCGTCGACCCAAGACCTTGAAGATTGACATCTCCAAGTATACGGGAGTCGATGAGGACTCCCTCTTGAGATGGCTCGTCGAATTAGATGACGCCATAAGGGCGCGTCGAATCGACGACGGGGAAATGCAAGTTGCATTTGCCCAATCAAATCTGGCAGGACGTGCCAAGACTTGGGCACTGGGGCTCAAGTTGAACGACCCATATGCGTTTGGGTCGTTAGAAGTCTTTCAGTCGCGGCTCCAACAAGCGTTTGAACCGCCTAGAGCTGAGTTTAGGGATCGAACCGAACTCTTGAAGCTCAAACAGGGTAAGCGTGATGTGCACGCTTACGCACAACATATACGACATCTCACGAGTTGTATAAGCTCCAACCCGGTAGATGAACACACGTTGGTGTCGGTGTTCATGCAGGGTCTTGCGGATGGTCCCGTCAAGACTCACCTGTTCTGACTTGAACTAGATTCACTAGAACAAGCCATTTCCATTGCGGAGCAGGAAGACTTCAGTCTGAGACAGGCTCGCGCCAGCTCGACATCATATCGTCAACCGAGACGATATGACAACGGAGTTCCAGAGCCGATGGAACTCTGTTATGTAGAGAGCGAGAAGGCTCGCTCTACAGGCTACAAGAAGTTGCAGAGATGCAACAGATGTCAAAAGACAGGAAACTACGCTTACGAGTGTAGTGCCCCTCGTCCAGTGTCTCGCGACACTGGGCGTAGTGACCGTCCACCCATGAGATAGGGGCAGGGACGCGGGTCCGCTGTTGGTGCAAAGACGCAACAACGGGATGGACCGTCAAAAAACGGACAGGATCAGTAGGTGCGGAGCACCCTACTGTTCTAGCAACGTCAAGAGAATTTGCAGGCCTCTTGATGAAGGTTGCTCCCAACCCACAAACGTTGTGCGTTGCTGCTCTAGGTAATGAGATCTCACTCATTACCTTGAAACTCGAAGTGACGAATAAGTTGTCCCTTCGAGCTCTAGTCGATTGTGGGGCGTCCAACAATTTTGTGCAATGCCAATCGCTAAAAGATGGTCACTTTAAGTTTGGTGAATGTGACACACCTCCTAGGAGGATGACGGTACGTCTTGCGACAGGCGCATCCGTAACCGTCATGAAGCGTATAGTGAAGATCCACTATACGCTAGAAGATACCCAATGTGACGATGACTTTATCGTATTGGATTTGGATGACAAATTTGATGTCATCCTTGGACTACCGTGGCTCAGAAGGTACGAACCACAAGTAAACTGGCAACATCGAACAGTAACGATGCCTGCCGCTTGTTCATCAGATGGCCATCTGATGAACGTTTTGGAGCGTCCACAAGCGTGTAGATGTACTACGAGTGAGTGCGATGGCCTCACTTGTGGTACGGTCGTTAGTACGACTGCACGAAACCTTAGTGTAACAAACGGTTACACTTCGGAGCAAAGTTCCGGCGGCTGTGAGTAAACACAGGCTGCGCCGAAGGTCCACCACTCGAATAAGTCGAGTGGACCGGGACAAAGATGTATCCCTAGCGGGGAACATCTAGAAGAGAAACCATCGATCGCTCAGGTTAAGCGAAACGATAATCCTAGATCGACTGGAGAGTCTTTCGTAGAGGATCTCGCTGTGGTTGCGCAACCCCAGCTAGAGGAAGTAAAGGGAATAAGTCCCGATATTACAAATACGGCGGAAATAAGTTCCCCGAAACCCGCGGGAATAAGTCCCCGGGAAGCCGAAGGAATAAGTCCTTCGAAGCCTGAGGGAATAAGTCCCCAGGAAATGACAGAGACATTGAATGTCATAGTCAATAACGGATCAAGTGTAGGCGCTTATACACTTGATATGATTGCGCCTCCGAAGTTAACTTCAGAGATCACTCAGTTGCCAACGCTCGAACATAAAAGGATCTTGCTTGATCTGCGTAGTGGCAAAGTCAAGCAGATCTGCGTACTCGTCGCTGACGACGAGTGTGTAACCGACATAAGGTCAGCAACAGTTTTTACTGAGAACGAGAGACTTCTCAGTAGTTCATCTATGGACGAGAGTGTTCTAGATGAAAAGACACGAATTGAGCGATATGACTCTCAATCGTGGGAATCGCTCAAGACAAATCCTCTCTATGAAGATTTGGTTGAATTCAAGGATGTATTCCCTGAAACTGTTCCGTGGGAGTTACCGAAGGATAAAGGTATTTGACACGAGGTCGAGCTTAAACCAGGCTCGAAGTACTGTGTCATGAAGCAGTGGCCACTGCCTCGTGAACAAGTACTTGCGATCGACAAGTTCTTTGCCGATCGTTTAGCTGCGGGCCATGTGAGGGAATCGACTTCCTCACATAGCTCTCCGACCTTCTGTGTGCGAAAAGCAACAGGAGGGTGGCGGATAGTGCATGCATTTAACAAGTTGAATGCTGCAACGGTACCGGCTCAGACGCCGATACCAAGGAAGGACGTAATCATTGATGGTATGTCAAAAAGTACCATCTTTTCGTCCATGGATTTGATGGATGGCTTCTATCACATCCTTATGCAAGAACGGGATATACCCTATACCGCAGTTAGCACACCTAGCGGCATGCTCTGGGAATGGCTAGTAATGCCACAAGGGCTCAGTAATGCCCCTGCCACGTTCAACAGATGTGTATCACATTTGTTGAGACCAGTACGAGAATTCGCGCCGAGTTATTTCGATGACGTATTCATCCATAGTCGAGCTATGGATGGAAAGTCGGACGTTGAGGTTCACAGGTACCACGTCCGACAGGTTCTTACAATCATGCGAAAGCATCAATTGTATGCAAACCTCAAGAAGTGTATATTTGCCGCAAGCGAAATACCACTTCTTGGGTGCATCGTTGGTAAGAACGGTGTACGTCCTGATCCCGAAAAGATCAAGGCGATCACCGACTGGCCTGTGCCGGTTGATGTCAAAGGTCTTCGAAAATTCCTTGGGCTAGCGGCGTATTTGTATAAGTAGTCACGCAATTACGCCGAGATGACTGTGCACCTCTCTCGTTTGTTGAAAAAGAACGAGAGGTGGTTATGGAACGCTGAATGTCAACGCTCCTTTGAGGGTATCAAGCAGAGCTTGATACAATCCCCATTCCTAGCAATAGCCGATCAGGACAGGCCATTTCATGTGGTCTGTGATGCCAGCGATTTCGCAATCGGCTGTGCATTAATGCAGTACGATCTTGAAGGCGTTGAACGCGTCGTCTGCTATCAGTCGCGTCAGCTGTAACCAGCTGAGCGGAACTATCCAGTGCATGACAAGGAACTCCTTGCCATGAAGTATGCACTCGCGAAGTTCAGAGTCTATCTATTAGGAGATAGACCCTTCATTGTTTACACTGACCATGCGTCATTACGCACGGCAGTGAACAGCCCGCACCTTTCACAACGAATGGCGCGGTGGTTGTCATTCTTTGCAGAGTGCAACTTTACGGTCGAGTACAAACCAGGACGACTTAATGTCGTCGCTGATGCACTCTCACGTCGTCCCGACTTTGAAACAGTCGCGAAACCCAACAGTGAGACAGTCACTGTTGCGGTTATGACGTACTCAGTCCCATCTACAACGTTGTATGATGATGTGAGGCGGGCATACGCCCAAGATGGTGAGATAGTGAAGTTGTTGACACATCTCTCACAACCATCTCGAGCATCGTTGAAACGATTGTCGTCTGCGTATCGATCTGCATCAGAGAGATACACTACTCGTAACGGTTTACTGTATTATACAGCCGTTTCTGGTGACACACCACGTGTTGTCATTCCAGATGATACTGATCTGCGTTTGCGGATCATGTTCGAGTATCACGATGCTCCTATAGGAGGACATCGTGGCCGAGAGAAAACATATCTCACGGTAGGTCGAGACTTTTACTGGCCCCGCCAGTATCAGTTTGTGCACAAGTACGTTCGCGCATGCGAAGTCTGCCAACGAGTGAAGTCAAGTCCTTCACTGCGTGCACCTTTACAGCCTCTACCGGTTCCGGCTGAGTGCTGGGAATCCATCTCAATGGATTTCGTCTTCGGGTTACTCAAAGACGCACGCGGGAATACGGGTATTCTCGTATTTGTTGACAGATTCAGCAAAATGGTACACCTTGTGGCTGTACCAGAGACAATCACGGCAAGTGGCTGTGCTTGTGTCTTTATTGACACCATCTTCCGACTTCATGGGTTGCCCCGTGAACTCGTATCAGACAGAGATCCACGATTCACTGCTGATTTCTGGCGTTCCGTGTTCAAATCACTCGGAACGCGCTTGAAGATGTCGACTTCTGATCATCCGAGTCAGAAGGTCAGACGGAACGAGACATTCGTGTCCTTGAAGAGATACTTCGAGGATACGTACACTCCTTTAAGAGTTGGAGTGAGTTTTTGCCAATGGTAGAGTTTGCCATCAACAACTCGGTGCATGCGTCCACGACACACACACCGTTTTACGTGAATGGCTTGCGCCATCACGCTCTGTACCAGAGTCACCTTTGCGTTTGAGGTGGATAACGATACTGGTTTAAGGGGGGGGCGCGGAGAACTCGAAAGAAGATTTGGTTCACGCTCATCACGCTCTGACGAAGAAGTCATTGCGTTTGATGTCGATATCGATAACATCGATATCGAAGAAGATGATCCCAGTGAGAGTGCGGAAGCCCTCACTGAAGAAAAGGTTGATGTTGCTGCAGTGCGCTCACAGCACACTGAAGCTAACGAGTCATCAGATGAGTTCATACTGGCTCGTGAAACGGTAGTCCGTTTTGTGCAAGACTCCATCGCCGAAGCGGTGGATAAGCAAAAGCAAAACGCTGACAAGAATGGAAGGGCAAACACTCTTTTATTTAATAGAGGTGACTTAGTGCTACTGTCTACGGTTAATCTACCAAAGCATGTAGTGACTAACTTGGGTAGCAGTAAACTACTTCCCAAGTACATCGGTCCATTTCGTGTATTGCACCGCCTAGGCAATGCATACACGATCGAGTTACCACGTAAGATGCGAACACATCCCACATTTTACGTTGGTCGGCTTAAGCCGTACCATCGGTACGCTGCTTCTTCCGATGAAGAACGCCCTTGCGCTCAAGCATCTCACAGAGAGCCTTGTGTTCCCGATGGTGGATACCAACAAGGGTCTGAAGAGCAGTTATCTCAGCCCGAGACCGGTCAACATTCCCACGAGCTACCCTTAGCTCGTTACGCAGAGATGTCAAAGCTATCTCGTTCTAAAGCTGAGCAAAAGCATACTCAGCTCGATGCTTCAAGACAGTGTCCGCCATTTGGAGACGCCTATTCCGCTCATGTTCGAGATCGTCGCGTAACCCTTGAGTTACGCGATCAAAGAAGCATTCGGGAACACACCGATCCACATGATCGTGTGGAGAGCGTCTTTCCTCCTCCTCCACCTCCATTAGAGGACTCTCGCGGTGGCCAGCGCTATCTAGTTGAGCAGCTGTTGAACCACCGCGACGTGAACGGACGTCGGACGAGTTACCTCGTCCGGTGGCGCGGCTATCCCCCGTCCTGGGATACTTGGGAGCCCCGCTCCCAACTAATGATCGACGTACAGGGTCTGGTTAAGCAGTACGACGAGGCACATTCTGTGCCGCAGAAGGACCGCCGGAGAAAGTCTTCCCGGCACGGTCGTAAAGGGATTTCAGGTTGTCAATCCCTTCGTACATCTCAGTAGAGATACGTACGCGCCACCACGGGCTGGTAAGGAGGTAAGTCTCCTTAGGTGCTCGTGCAGAGTTGTTCACACAACATGGGCACGAGTCTCCCCAGGAAAGACAGGATAACCCACCCTCCTTAGACAGCGATGCAGCTTATAGCGTGCACCTGTCGGGGTTCTTTTCTCAAACTTATCACGAGCTTTGATAAGTTTGTCGTTTCAAACGTCACGACCTACATCCTTTAAGGTTATGGATGTAAGCGTTCCACGCTTAAAGCAGTGAGGGACCATTACGTTTGTGATTCCCACTGTACCATCGATGTCTAAAGAAAGCATCGATGAAGAATTCATTCTCAGCGCGATTGTTTTTCGCACTGGGGTCAAGGTGATGGATCCTTGACGAATCGAACAATCGTGTTCGATAACGATCACTCGTCGTCGCCGACAAGTGATCCATGACGGATTTTGGTGCCTTCTTCTCAGGAGCGAGACGCAACACATTGCGGGCCCGCTCTTCCTGCGACGTGCCGACAGAAGTACTGGCACCTCGTTGCGAAGTGGTGTCAGTAGGAGAACCGACACCACTGTGAGCGCCCGAGTCTCGCGACCTCGAGCGCCTTCGCTTCGGCGATGGTTCATCTGATTCATCAGATGAACCAAAGATGCTGCGACGCAAAGCATCGTCCATGCCACGCTTGGCAGGCGGCTTAGATTCAATCGCCGTCGATACGGATCCGTCATCCGTATCAGGAGAGTACGAGACACCGAGCTCGTACTCTGTGAAGACACGAGTGTCTTCATGACCAGCGCCTGCATCACCAAGTGACACAGGCTGAGTCGCATCAGCAACCGATGGGACATCAGTTGCTGTAGTTTCTGCTTCGGCGTCCGCACAGAGACGTGCAGACGCGCTCTCGGCGGCCTTGCTCGCGCATCGCATGGGCTTGTTTACCATGCGATGAGATGTTGGAAAGTGGACGCGGACCAACAAGTGCAAACCCTGTCCCAAATGATTTGGGACGAGTATCCATTTAGTCAATCAGTCACTAAAGGGACTGATGGTTAAGGGGGGGTGATGTAACGAGGTGAATCGTTGCATAACAATTTATAAGAAATTGTTAATAGAATATAACTATAAGAGTTATGTTCTTAGAACATTGTCATAAGGACAATATTCTGCAGCACTTACGAGTAGTTCCTAATTGGTTGATATGGGCCATTACATCAACCAACGAAGACGCGCCACGACAGACGCACGCAATGAGTGGTGAGCAGATAACTGATTTACACATTTGTATTTAGACATAGTTAGATGAAGATAAATAGTGATTTATTGCAGACAATAACTATTATAAATGCAGTTCTACTTTTTACTTTAACCAAGTACTCGCTTCTTCTTACCGTCTTCCTCTGCACGTACGAGTGTACGTGAAGTTACGAGGCACCGCCTTATTCTGTCATCAGAATAAGTAGCTTGTACTGTCATCAGTACAAGCTTCAGGGTGCCCCGTTACAGGTCGGCCCACGCGAGACTTTGTGATTCAACCCAAAGTCGTCTTATCAACAAGGATCGCAACCGCATACAGATACACGAGCGCTTCATAAAATCTTTTTCCGTATAAACTTGACGAATTGTTGAATGAACGCATTGGCCAAGAAATTGGTACACTAAAAATGTGTTTAGACGATTACTTATGCGTAACATAGTGATTAGTATTTCACAATGTTGCGATCAGTAATGCACGACGTAGCGATTAGTCATGCACGACGTATCGATTAGTAATGCGCGATTAGCGAATACGATTGTGTAATAAGTATTAAGTATTATTAGACAAACAAAAGAGGTCGATTACTTAAAATTTAGTAAATACACTTTGCATTTTAACAACCATCGAGCACTCGACGTATTACGTTGTCGATTTCTGCCGCCGGTCCCGTTTGTCTCGTCTTATGTTTTTTAGCATTATAGATACGTTGCAGCAGGTTGAAACTACTTTTCGCAAAAGCTAGACGCGAACGGTCAGATGGGCTTCTCGGTGCTGCATAAGTGCAACTCGTTAATGTGATAGCTGGTCTACGGCGTCATGCCAGATCTGTTTAATGGGTCTCTTCGCATGGCGGAGATTGATGATAGCGAATGCCTTTGTTGCTTTGTCGCAGGAATGGTGCATTTTTTATTTAGCTATCTTTAATGCGCAAGATGTGCAACGTCTATTGGAAAAGAATGAGGATTGCGGGTTTCCAGAAATGCTTGGCTCGCTCAATTGTATGCATCGGTTCTGAAAAAGGCCTAAATGCATGAGCTGACTAGTACAGTGACAAGGGACAGAAGCCCACGATCATCCTCGAAGCCGTCACATTGCAGGACCTTCACATCTGGCATGCCGTTATTCGGCATGCCGGGAGCACATGTTGACATTTATGTTCCGAATCACCTACCTCTGCTCCAGGAACTTTGCAGTGACCAAGCGAAACCCGTTAATCTTGCTACTAAGGGGCACGTTCATGTAATGTGCTGTTATCTTATCATAATAATATAGGAAGTAGTAGCTGGACAACAGAATACATCCAATTCATGACGCCTTCGTCAAGATCATTTCGCCCCCGCAAAGTGCCAAGAAGAAGGTTAATCCTGTAAATGATTGCATAGTCCATGTACATGATGGTCGTCTCAGACAATACTAATATCTACGCCTTACACAATACAGCATTTGGCGCAAAAATAGGAGGCAGTGCTCAAAGACGCGGAGCTCGCATCTGGAGCATAGCAAGCTCGATTTGTCATCATCTGTAGGCCGGAACGCATGTGGCATAGGATGATCTAGACAAAAAATGAAAGCGTGCATCATTGTGCACAAAAAGATCGTCGAGGACCAGTGTAAAGAAGAGCTTAAGCAAGGGCATGGTTGGAGGGAGAGACAGTCGTGGAGAGACTGTCAGTGCTTGACATGTGCGTGCGTCGAATTTGTAAACTGTTTCCGCGCAATGCGCGATGATGTCACGCACGTCCAGCGGCGTACTGATCTCATAGAACATCTTTGGTAGCGACATGATGATGTGTATGTGACGCATATCTAGTTCAAGCTTAAATACGAAGAATATCTACTACCCTGCTCTCCACTCCACTCCTCGACTTCTCCGGACTTAAGCGCTTGCAATTTCGACGTTATCTCAGCATATCATACCAGCTGGATGGCATCTATCCCGCTCGTATAGACGCGCATTATTTCTCCCTTCAAAGTCAGCCATAACGCGTCTGCATCGTGCTGTCATGAAGCGCCACGTAGACTGTCGACTTGACCATGGTTATTGAGCTGCTCGCAATGGTGGACCAGGTTAAAGAGTTTGGCAACCCTCTTTATTGATGTCTGGCTTATAAGTCGGGCAGCTCATCGAAGGTCCTAGCGACTTCTATTTGGCTGGGACAGCATTTCCTCGTTTCCAATAGGCTTGTTTGCCGTGCGCTTTTACACGGCGGACGCGGTGGTGGTAGCGGCAGCGTAGAGCTGTCCTTGTAATTTCATTTTCCTCACAGCAGGTAAGAGATCGCCACCATGGTGAAGGTAAACTACACTTGATACTTGTACAAGGAAAGCCCGTCATTCATCTTGCCGTCGGCGCTTTTTACACGGCGGACGCGGTGGTGGTAGCGGCAGCGTAGAGCTGTCCTTGTAATTTCATTTTCCTCACAGCAGGTAAGAGATCGCCACCATGGTGAAGGTAAACTACACTTGATACTTGTACAAGGAAAGCCCGTCATTCATCTTGCCGTCGGCGCTTTTTACACGGCGGACGCGGTGGTGGTAGCGGCAGCGTAGAGCTGTCCTTGTAATTTCATTTTCCTCACAGCAGGTAAGAGATCGCCACCATGGTGAAGGTAAACTACACTTGATACTTGTACAAGGAAAGCCCGTCATTCATCTTGCCGTCGGCGCTTTTGCCGACTCATTCCACGCCTCTATCTGCGTAGCAAAGCATCATTATTCCCTGGTTTTGTAGATACACGATATTGCACACAGCCCCGAACATGGGCATACGCCCCGCAAAATTTGTTGACCTTGGGTTCAATGGCCCAAAAAAACGACTTTACAACGCCTTTTGCCCGGACCGTAAAGTTCTGCGCTTGGTGTAACGGCGTGGTCACATGCATCTAAAAGCTGTTCCTTTTTCTTGGTTTGTGACCACAATGGGGTCTTGGGATACTTCTATCCAGCTACGGCAGATTTTGCGGTCCTTAGCGGAGAATTATTATTCTGCAGACGATGTCGAGGGTCTGGTGATAAGCTGGCCACGGCGACAGCGTTTGCATCAAACGCACAATTATCTAAGAAAGGGACGAACGACACGGCCTGACTGTGGGCCACCTTCGCGGTACGCGGGAGATCGATAATGTCGGAGATGCTCATGCTGAGGAGGAAAAGGAGGAGAAGGAGGAGAGGAAAGGAACGGAAAAGGAGGAAAAGGGACTGGTTGGGGTGCGCAGAGAGGGAAGAGGATAGTGTGAAAGCGCGTGGTAGGGGTGCTGAAGGGGGCTATATTGTAAGAGGGAGTTCAGAAATTCGTGGATGCTAAAGCTTCTGTATCAGGTTCAAAAATCGTTGTCGGCTTATGGTGTACTGCTGCAACGTAAAAATGCCGAATCTAGCCAAAAAAATTGTTTTTACTGCGACATGGTGCACCGCTGAGATTCTCTGAGTTAAAATGGGGTTTTACCGTTTGCAATATTTCAATTTGACTAGTTCTGCATATATTATCGACCAGAATATTCAGGGCACAAAATACGGCTTTCCACGAATGGAGGTTCAAAATAGGTGTTTTGACAAATTCTTTAACCCACGCGTCCGAATTGATTGCAAAAAATGTCAAAGCCGTCACTTGTGATCGGTTTAAATGCGTTCGGGATGTTATAATTATTAAAACTTAAGCAGAAATAGGCATTCAGTGCAGAACGACTGCTTAAATCACAGCTCTATCATTGACCTCAAGAGTAGAAAAAGGGATTTTTTTCGGAAAGTGAGTGTGAGCATGGCATTGGCCCCCATTCAAACGGGATTTCAAGTAGTTGTGTAAATCGATGCAGGACTAAGGGTATTTAAACACATGTAGTGTGCTATGTTACTGCTAGAAGCTGTAGTAGTTCGATTAGCATACCTGAGATGACTTGATAAACTGACAGGAATTTTTTCTGGATGTAGAACTGAACAAAAATAAATCTTGTTCCTGTAAACGCCCTTCCCGCCTCGTTGTTACTGCTACTTGTTACGTCGCTTTTCTGTCATATTACCAATACGTCAGATCTTAGATACATAAGCCATCATACCCTCCGCCAAAAAGGTTTTCCATGACAGAATGAAATGTCTAGAAAATTTACAATAGCCGCTTCACTTAATTATTCTCGGGAGCTTTGTGTAATGTTTTGTATGGGATATCAGTCCCCTTCACCTTGTGCAGCTCCATGGTCCCCTTCTCGGTAATTTCGTGAAAAAGGTTCAACCCAGTTTAATGTGGCGCGTTCTTCTAAACTGTAAAATGCGTTGCTAGCACATACTCTGCCTGGCTGTACCTGAAATGCGCAGGTCTATGGAATTTTGTGGCTAGGGTTGTTGACATATTTTTCACACTGCAAGTGCTTCCATGTATACTTCACATGCAGTCATATTAAATATCTGTTTCTCTCGTTTGTAGGAATTAATTCGCCAATGCAATTTTTACGCAATTAATTCATTACATAGACCAAACAAAAGGCTAATCGCATTTTGATCGCCGAAATCATTCGAACAATCTAGTTCTACCCGCGTAACAATGTGGTAAAGGGATTTCTGAAGCGATAATGGACCCAGACACCATCCAGAAGAAGGGACAAGGGGATACTATCAAGAAAGAACGACTGGGGATGAAGAAGTCACGAACGTAATTAGACCCTCCAGGAGGAGGGACACC